CGGAGGCAAATGGGCCTTAGTTGCAGAGATCTGGAAGAGCTGTCGTGCCATCAACCAAATATCTTGTTTCTCAGTATATTCTGACTACTGATGAGGGGGAGCCTGAGAGTTTTTTGGAAGCAAAGAGTCATACAGAGAAAGATTGTTGGATGCAAGTCATGAAGGAGGAGATGAGTTCTTTGCAGAAGAATCACACTTATGAGCTTGTTTCACTTCCAAAGGGTAGGAAGGCATTGAAAAACAAATGGGTGTACAAATTGAAGAAAGATGGCAACAGTAAAATACTGTAGCATAAACCTCGCTTGGTGGTCAAAGGTTTTGGGCAGAAGAAGGGAATTGATTTTGATGAGATCTTCTCCCCAGTTGTGAAGATGACTTCCATTTGAGTAGCTTTGGGATTAGCAGCTAGCTTGAATCTGAAGGTAGAACAGATGGATGTCAAAACTGTCTTTCTCCATGGTAATTTGGAGGAAGAAATCTACATGGAGCAACCAGAAGGATTTGAAGTTAAAGGAAAACAGAATCTAGTTTGCAAACTGAAGAAAAGTCTCTATGGCCTAAAGCAGGCGCCGAGACAATGGTACAAGGAATTTGATTCATTCATGGTGGATCACGAGTACACAAGAACGATAGCAGACCAGTGTGTATATTTCCGAAGGTTTTCGGATGGAAACTTCACCATCCTAATGTTGTATGTCGATGATATGCTGATCATCAGATAGGGTATTGCTATGATCAACAAGTTGAAAAAGGACTTGTTGTAGTATTTTGACATGAAGAATTTAGGCCCAGCACAATAGATTTTGGGCATGAAGATTGTTCGTGACAGGAAAACCAAGAAGATATGGCTGTTACAGGAGAAATAGGTTGAACGGGTGATTAAAAGGTTCAACATGAAATATGCCAAGCCAGTCAGCACACCACTGGGCCAACCATTTTAAGGTGACAAAGCGTTTGTGTCCCACGACCAGCTCTAAAAGGAAATAAATGGAGGCAATCCCTTACTCTTCCGCAGTAGGGAGTTTGATATATGCAATGGTGTGTAACCGGCCAGATATAGCTCACGCAGTTGGTGTTGTGAGCAGATTCCTCGCCAATCCAAGAAAGGAGCATTGTGAAGCAATCAAATGGATTCTTTGGTACTTGAAGGGAACTTCAAAGATGTGTCTATGTTTTGGGAAAGCTGAACCAATTTTGGAGGGTTTTACAGATGCCGACATAGCGGGTGATCTTGATGGAAGAAATTCTACATCAGGATTTTTATTCACCTTTGCAGGGGGGAGCTGTTTCATGGCAGTCCAAACCAGTGTTGTGAAAAGCGCGCCTCGGCGCGCGCGCCTAGGCGCAAGGCGAAGCGAAACACATGGTTTGCGCTTGGACAGGTCCCAGGCGAGGCGAGTTGAGTTAGGTGCACGCCTTAGACGCGACTTTAACTAGTCGACAGAGGCGCAAGGCGCACGACTAGGCGCGCTTGATTTTTCGACTGAAATGAACCCTAACTTGTGTCGTCTTTTCCTCTCTCGCCTCGCCTTGGATTGCGACTTCGACTGGACTGCTCGACTTCTTCTTTGACTTCACAGGTATGCTTCGCCATCTTATTCTTCTCCTCCTCTTCGACTGGGCTGATCGACTTGATCGACTGGGTTTTGCTTTTTTTTTCTTCGGCTTTGACTTCTTCGACTTCTTCTTCTTTGACTCTGACTCGGACTCTCTTTCTCCTCCTTCTTCTTCTTTTGGCTGTGTTGTCTCTATTTTGCCCCCCCTTTTTTTTTTTTTTTTGCCTTTTATCCAAGAAAGGAGCATTGTGAAGCAATCAAATGGATTCTTTGGTACTTGAAGGGAACTTCAAAGATGTGTCTATGTTTTGGGAAAGCTGAACCAATTTTGGAGGGTTTTACAGATGCCGACATGGCGGGTGATCTTGATGGAAGAAATTCTACATCAGGATTTTTATTCACCTTTGCAGGGGGGAGCTGTTTCATGGCAGTCCAAACCAGTGTTGTGAAAAGCGCGCCTCGGCGCGCGCGCCTAGGCGCAAGGCGAAGCGAAGCACATGGTTTGCGCTTGGACAGGTCCCAGGCGAGGCGAGTTGAGTTAGGCGCACGCCTTAGACGCGACTTCAACTAGTCGATAGAGGCGCAAGGCACACGACTAGGCGCGCTTGATTTTTCGACTGAAATGAACCCTAACTTGTGTCGTCTCTTCTTCTCTCGCCTCGCCTTGGATTACGACTTCGACTGGACTGCTCGACTTCTTCTTTGACTTCACAGGTACGCTTCGCCATCTTATTCTTCTCCTCCTCTTCGACTGGGCTAATCGACTTGATCGACTGGGTTTTGCTTTTTTTTTTTTTTCTTCGGCTTTGACTTCTTCGACTTCTTCTTCTTTGACTCTGACTCTGACTCTCTTTCTCCTCCTTCTTCTTCTTTTGGCTGTGTTGTCTCTATTTTGCCCCCTTTTTTTTTTTCAATTATGCCTTTGGGTCTGTTAGAAACAAAAAATAAAATAAAAAATACAAATACAAAATAATTAACTAAAAAAAATAGATTATTGAAATAGATTATTATGCCTTTTTTTTTTCAATTTTTTTTTTCCCTTATCTGGTAGGGGAAAAAAATAGATTTTGATTTTGATTAATTAACTAAAAAAAATACATTGAAAAAAAAATTACAAATAAATAATCATTCACAAATAATTAATTAACACAATGTTCTACTAGTTTTTTTTTTTTTCCTTTATCTATTAGGGGAAATAAATAGATTCTGATTCTGATTAATTAACTAAAATTATTTTCCAAAATTAGATTCTGATTCTGATTCTTATTTTCCAAAATTAGATTCTTATTCCAATTAACTAAAATTAATTCATATTTTCCAAAATTAGATTCTAATTCTGATTTTCCAAAATTAGATTAGTCTATGTTAATTTTTTTATTTTTTATAAAGATTGTGCGTCTTACTTCAATAAAGCCCGCGCCTCACATTGCGCCTTGGCCTTGAGATACCTTCAGCACCTTAGTGCGCCTTGAGCCTTTAAAAACACTAGTCCAAACTACAAAAGTGTGTTGCTTTATCTACAACAGAGGCAGAGTATATTACTGCCGCAGATGTTGGAAAAGAAATCTTGTGGTTAAAGCGGTTTCTCCAAGAATTGGGTTTACAGCAGGAAGAGTACAAGGTACATTGTGATAGTCAGAGTATAATTGATGTCCGGTATCATTGTATACTAGAAGTGATAGAAAAGCAACTGATGAAGCTAGTGAAGATTCACACGGACAAGAATCCTTCTGACGTAATGACCACGGTTGTCACCAGAGACAAACTAGAAGTTTGCAAGAATCTGACCAGGATGGACTTCAAGTAAGAAGTCAGTTATCCATATGGGCGTGGAGGGGGAGAATTATTAACTCCAACCCACATGAAGTAGTTGGAGGTTGGAGGTTGGAGGTTAGGTCTCCAAGTCAAGAAGGAAGATGGCAGTTGGCAGCCCAATTACTTCATTTCCTTGACTTTGTTTCCTTCTCTTTGTCGTATAAATTGAGGTGAGGAGGAAGGGAAATAACACACAGATAGAGGCATCAAACACAGAGTGTATAATCTGTGTAAGAGAGTGAGAGTGCTATAGAGAGAGAGTGTGAGGTGTGAGTATTGTAAACTCCTTCAGGGAAAAAATTCTATATTGGATATCTCTCCCGTGGAAGTAGGCTATTGTTGAACCACGTAAATCTCTTGTGTTATTGTATGTGATTGATTTCTGATGTGCCTTGATCCTAACAGATCAAACATGTGATACCTGCATAAATGCTTTCTTTTTTAATAATATCATCAAAAAAAAATTCACATTTTCCTAACCCAACCATATAAAAACTGAAATTTAAAATTTTGAGCAAAAACATAAAAAATAAAACTAATATTTGACCTTTGTAACAAAATAAACTATTAACTTATTTCCGTTAATGACTAAAATATTTTTTTCATCAATTTTATCTTACGAAAATAGGCAAATGGTTATTGCAAACTATGCGGACCACCCCACTACCAGAGCACACACCAAGATATTGTCCACTCTATATCACGGGGGCACGCTCAGTTTTGTTTTTCCTTCCCTAGAAAAGGCCTCTCGAAAGTTTGTGGGCATAGCACATTTTACAAGGTGGGTCAAGAGTTCCTAGTGTAATGATGTGGAATAGATTTCCCGTTGCCACAAAAATAAATCAAAAGATCATGATTTAAATTAACAAAATAAAAAACTCAGGGCTTTTAAATTATTTTGTTACAAGGTCAAAACTAGCCGTGCGTTTGGTCTAGTTTTGAGAATGAATTGAAAGATAATTTTGTGAAAAGAGTTTTAAAAATTCAAAACTTATTTTTGATTTCTTCACATTTTGTTTATAGTTTAAGTATATCTAAAACATAAAAAATTATTTGACCAATACTTGGGCAACTACTGCGCTTTAAAAACTTGTTTGTGAAAACCCGTGAAAAGAGTTTTGAAAATTCAAAATTTATTTTTGATTTCTTCACATTTTGTTTATTGTTTAAATATATGTAAAACATAAAAAATTATTTGACCAACACTTGGGCAACTACTGGGCTTGGAAAACTTGTTTGTGAGGTTTTGGGTTTCAAAACTTGGGTTCAAAATGAGACTCTGAAATATACGTTGTGAAAATCCAAAACCAAACAGGTTTTGGGTTTTGGAAAAGTGATTCTAAATCTCAACAAACGGGCCATAGTTTTTTTTTTTTTTGGGAGGGGTAATTTGCACTTAATTTTTTTATTCCATTTTCTATATTTGTTTATTATTCTGTAAGTCCCAAATCCAAACACTGTTAATGCCATACCAAATAGAGAGATTAACAATTTTAACTATAATCAAACTTCAGTTTTATTTTTTATTTTTTAAAATCAAACTTCACTTTAAGTTAGTGAAATCAATGTCTAAAACACGCAGCAATAAATCAACATCCGAAAATGGAGGAAGAGTTGGAATCTGCTTACGCTATGTGAAACACTGCTTCGTCTTCTTTTAATGAGAAGCCTCGTCTTGTACTGAGAGCATGAATCAACCTCCTTTAGCGGAAATTTGAACTGGTTTGGAGTGGAGATGAGCCCATCGGCTGGTATGAGTCGGTGTCACAAATCCAAGACAAAAGAGAGCTAGCGAAGTGATGACGGCGCCAAGTTCCAATGAATAATGTATATGCACTAATTAGCGTAAATATTTATCACCGAACCGAAATTGAAAAATGGTTTAGACCGCAAAAAAAGCAGGACTAAAGGAGCATTAATTTGTCATTTTTCTCTTTTTATATTGTCTTTTTCTTTTATTTAAGTGTTTATTTATTTATTTTTTTTAAGTGTATGCCACCTCAGTAGAGGTTCATTTAGAACAACTTACTAGTGATCTCAATCACCACTTAATCGAAATATACGGTTTGATTAGGTTTGGATGTCTCCAGTTTCAAATCAAACAGGACAGTCTAATCTGATATATTTTTGAGTCCGATTTTAATAAGTTAAATCATTTATATTTTAAAGTTTATTGAGTACATAATTCTCGTAAAAAGTTTATCCGACCATATATGAAGATTAATTTTATATAAATTATTTATTTTCTCACTATTTATATTTTTTCTCATACAAAACTAATTCGAACATGTAGTTGCCATTATTTAATTGCCTTGATATTATAAAAAAATAATGTGTTCGACGAATCTTCAAATATGAGCAATTCAAATTATCGAAATAAGACCTAAAAGTAAACCTAATAAACCGAACAACACCACTCCAGTTCAATTTGAGACTGCAGAGAAGCGAATCCTGAATTTTATCAGGTTGCATAGACGGAAGATTTTCATAAGATTCTAAAAGGTTTTTATATAAATTTGTTAAATTTTACGTTGAAAATAAATGAGAAAAATTTGTGAAAAATATTCTATCAATATCTTCTTTTTGAATTTTATTACAAAATGTATATTATTTGTTACTTATATTATAATGTTTAAATAATCAGAATATTAAAGTATTTAAATATAATATTTTAGGTGATTCGGTTTGTATTTGTATTAAATTTTTCAATATAAAAAACACATCATAAATTATAAAAAAATGTACTGATTTGTGTGTGTGTGTGTGTGTGTTGATTTTGAGCGATTGCTTCGGTTATGTTGGTCTTTCTTACTCTCGTACTTCCAATCTCACAGATTGGTTGCAACTAAATTAGCATGTGTCATATTGTGCATGATGGGATTCACATTTGTCAGATTTTATAATTTAAACTATTTATTTTTATTGAGTTTGTCGTATAAATTATTCATTTATAGTGTGATTTTGCCAATAAAACTTTGAGCCTGATTCTTCCATTTTTATAACATAGCAAGTTGCCCTCCCTGAGCTGGGAATGCTTGTGGGGAGAGAGGTGTGCCACGACCAAACAATAGTAGCCTTGTTTGGAAACTCAAGTTAAATAGTCTCAAATATTAAAAAAAGCTAAATAACTTAAAATAGTACCTAAATCAATGATTTATATTAAAAATAAATAAAAAAAAAGCAGCTCGGCAATGGGTTGTCACGTTGACAGTGTAGGCACAGCCTACCACTGTCAGATTGGCAGGCTGTCCCATTGTTGATAAGTGACAATTTTGCCCCTTTAGACAAATTTTGAAAAAAGTGAGGTTAGGGACAAATTTGTTATTTCAACCTTAAACATCATTTCAAACATATTTTTTAATATGATAATCAACCAAAAAATTTAATCCAACTTTTCAAACATAAAAACTAAAATAATCTATTAAAATAGCTAAATAATTAAACAATTAAAAAAGTAGCCACTTTTCAAACAATACCAGAATAAAAGGCCGCTTTGCATTAGATGCTCTTTACTCTTCCCACAATGATGGCACTAGTTTCTTAAGGAGAGTTGAAACTTGCTTCTCTAAAGTTTATGGTAATTAGATATTGATAATTGTATGATTAAATTATATATATTTTTAAAAAGTTAACAATAAATTTGATTTTTCAAAACAAATAATTTACTTTTAAATACAAAGGTAAAAATATGTTTTGAGTAAATCATTTATTTTTAAATACAAATCTGATTCGATTGAACAGGTCAAGTTTTGACTTAATTTTTTTTAATTTTTTATTTTATGAGTGAAGGGAGGGTCAATATAATCTGGTCATTAGAAGTTATGGCAACAACGAATAACAAAAGTCAAAAGTCATTTATGTAAAGAATTGTTTTATGGGAGTGTTTGGGGAGAAGTTTTTTTTTTTTTTTTTTTGCCCAAAAAAATTTTAAAATAAATAAAAAAGCAGCTCGGCAATGGATTGTCACGTTGATAGTGTAGGCACAGCCTATCACTGTCACATTGGCAGGCTGTCCCATTGTTGATAAGTGACAATTTTGCACCTTTAGACAAATTTTGAAAAAAGTGAGATTAGGGACAAATTTGTCATTTCAACCTCAAACATCATTTCAAACATATTTTTTAATATGACAATCAACCAAAAAATTCAATCCAACTTTTCAAACATAAAAATTAAAATAACCTATTAAAATAGCTAAATAACTAAAAAATTAAAAAAATAGCCACTTTTCAAACAATACCAGAATAAAAGGCCGTTTTGCATTAGATGCTCTTTACTAGGGGTGAGCATGGTCCGGATTGCACCGGATTGGGATAAAACCAGGACCAATCCGTTATCTACGGTTTCTGAAAAATCGGAACCAATCCGATCCGTTTAAATCTTGGAACCAATCCGAACCAATCCATTTCAACACAGATTGGATCGGTTTAGGACCACGGATTCACATAATTAAATAACAAAATATATATATATATATATATATAACACTTTAATTTTATAAAAATATAAACATAGCGCTATATTAGTTCTATAATAGCGACATGTTTTTCTATAATAGCGACATAATGTTCTAGAATTTAAATAATCATAAAAAAACTGGTTTCACCATAAGTATTTAGACCATTACAAATTAAAACAAAAAACTAAAAACAAAAGTAATAAAAGAAGATATTATACGAGGTTTAGGTTTGAGTTTAGATTTTATATAGAATAAGAGAAGATGCTATGGGAGAGGATGTATAATAAAAATATAGGCTATTTGTATACGGTCCGGATCGGTTCCAATCCGGAACCGTGGGGTTCAATCCGAAACCAATCCGTGGACTACGGATTTTTAATTCTTCAATCCGGAACCGAACCACGGATTCAAAAAACCAATCCAAACCTATCGGATTGGACTGGACTGAATCAGATTACGGATTTTACGGATTTCTTACTCAGTCCTACTCTTTACTCTTCCCACAATGATGGCACTAGTTTCTTAAGGAGAGTTGAAACTTGCTTCTTATCTAAAGTTTATGGTAATTAGATATTGATAATTGTATGATTAAATTATATATATTTTAAAAAAGTTAACAATAAATTTGATTTTTCAAAACAAATAATTTACTTTTAAATACAAACGTAAAAATATGTTTTGAGTAAATCATTTATTTTTAAATACAAATCTGATTCGATTGAACAGGTCAAGTTTTGACTTAATTTTTTTTAATTTTTTATTTTATGAGAGAAGGAAGGGTCAATATAATCTGGTCATTAGAAGTTATGGCAACAACTAATAGCAAAAGTCAAAAGTCATTTATGTAAAGAATTGTTTTATGGGAGTGTTTGGGGAGAAGTTTTTTTAATTTTTTTTTACTAAAATAGTTTTAAAAATTAAAATAGGTTAAAATAGTTAATAAGATAAAATATCACATTAAATTCATAATTATTTTACTTTTTCTCTCACAAATATCATATCTAACTATAAAAAAATTCAATTATTTTTTCAAACACAAAAATTTTAACTTACTAAAATAGTTACTTCTCAAACACCCAGCATGCTTGGTTATCATTTTTCAAAAACACTTTTCAGAAAATTCTACTTTCTTATTTTTCGTATTTTTTTATTTTTGCTGAATTTTTTAAATATTTTGAGCAATTTTTTTAATTTTTATACATACCTAACATAAATATACCTAAAAAGTAAAAAAGATTTGAAAAAAACCTTTTAAAAATTCACTAAATTCCAAAAATACAAAAAAATACAAGAATTCAATATATTTTTTATATTTTTATGTATTTATTAATTTTTAAAAATATTTTTTCACAATTTTTTTACTTTTTAGATACATCTAAGTAAGGTACATCTAAAAAAGTAAAAAAATATTTAGAATTTCAAAAATATTCACTAAAAACAAAAAAACACGAAAACCAAAAAATTCAATTTTTAAAAAACTTAATTCAAAAAATTCAAACCAAACACACTCAATTTATTTTTTTTGAAATGTCATTAAGATACACAATATGGTAATTACTTATTAATTAATTTCACTTTTGGTATATTTAATTATTTATCATATTTTTATACCAACTTTTAATTTGATATATTGGAACTTAATTCTTTAATTCCTATTAGTACAAAAAGGGAAATAATTGCATAGTGGGTTGCAACAACAAAACAAAAAAATTATAAAAACATGAAAAAATTTATAGTGGGTGCAATAATTAAAATATTATAACTTTTTCACGTTTTTATAATTTTTTACCTGCATCTACGGTGCAGTTATTTTCGCAGTTTAAAAATAGAACAACAAATCAATGTAGATCATAACCCTCTCCCCTAAGGAAAAAACAAAAATAATGTTAACTCTTTTATTTCATTATTACAATCCATTTTAATTAATAAATGATGTCAAAATCATTCCTCTAAAATTTATCTCAATATTTTTCTCAAACAAATTATTTTGAAAATATCCAGCATATTTTAATAAAATATTAATTTTTATTGCATATAATGATTATTTTGTGTGTGTAATTTTTTTTTATAAATTGTTTAATTTTTTTTTTCGATGATAAGTCAATCTCTATTGCAAAATGACACTAGATCTAATTTTTTGTATTAAAATCATAATTAATAAAATTATTTGGTAAGAAGAATAAATTATTATTTTGATTTTTTTTATATGCACCCTATTGTCGTTAGATCGGTCAATGCTAAAAAAGTTGGCAAAAAAATGTAATAAAAGTTTCTAAAAGTAGATCAATGAATAAGTAACACGACAATGCTACGTAACTCAAATTTTGTGGTTTAAAAGTGACTCAAATGACCAAAACGACGTCGTTTTGAGTACAGAACAACATAAAAATTTTGAGTCACTTTTGAGCCACAAAATTTGAGTTACGAGACATTTTCCTAAGTAACATGTGGATAAATAGGAAATGACATGGGACATAAATGAATAATATATGGTGTTTTATATTAGGGAAAATTATATTAAACCCCTTTAAACTATCGACCATTTATAGTTTACCTCCATAATATTTTAAACCCAACAATTACCCTCTTAAATTATTTAAATTTGAACATCAAATCCTTATGTTAGTCATTTGTTAGGTTTTTGAATGAAATTTTGTTAAGTGTTGTGTACACAATGATTATATTAAATTTTATGACTAAATTACCCTATTTTATCTTTTTTAAAAATTTAATATAATCATGAATACTTGATAAATTTTCTTTCAAATATTTAACAAATGACTAATAAAATGATTTAAGCTAGGTTTGGCATCCCCTAAAAAAGTTAAAAAATTAAAAAGTCATTATCCTATTTAAGTCACATAATCTTATTTAAGTCATTTTACATCTCTACCACATCACTTCAAACCTAACCCATATTTCATAAAAAGTTAAAAAATACACTTATTTAAAACATTTCAAACAACCTCCCTTAATGTTCAAATTCAAATAGTTTGAGAGGAATGATTGTTAAATTTGAAATATTAAGGATAAAGTGTAAATGACCGATAATTTAAGAAGTTTAATATAATTTGCCTTTCAAATTATTTTGTTATTTTAGCCTTTCATTATTTCTATTTTTTTTAATTTAGACTAGTAATTTAAAATTTTAATTTAAATTTTTTATTAACGCAATAAAAAGATGATTAATGTTAAAAATATCAAAAAAATTTCAAATATTTTGTATAGATATAAAATTCACACAATACAAATTTCATGTAAGTTCATATTTATGTAAAATATTCGGTAAAATTTTTTGGTAGAATCTGTGGGGTGCGCAGCATTTTTGTAAAAGGAACAAGAATTTGGCCAGGTCATAATAGCAGCGGAGAGGGTTGTTTCTCTCTCTAACTCTATCTCCGCCTTCTTCCATTCGATCTTTCTGCGAAGCTTTCGAGAGGTGAGTCCTCTTTTATTTCTCTCTCTGTTTCTCTCTTACGTCGATTGATGTGTGCTTGAATCTATTGCAGATCTCAACAGGTAAGGTCTTTTCCATATGAATTAGATCGTTGCGTAGATACATGTTCATCCACTTATACATATGAATTAGTTTTTTTGTTTTAGATCTTGCTTTGGTGCGATCTGATTTTCATTTCGTTGAATCTCAATAGATCTGTTGAATTCATTTTCAAATGAATTGTGATGCAAATTGAACGTTTTGAATGCCATAGTGATTGGACTGCATGTTCATTTTATGGTTTATGACTAAAGTTTTCAGGATTCAATCAAATCTTCAGTATTTTTCTTAGATGTAGATGTTTGATAAAATTTTAGCTAGATTTTGTTCTGATCAGGTCTATGTTGTGGCTAACGCAACAAAATCTAGCAGTAATTTGCTGTAATCATCGTGATTTGATTATCATAACTGTGATTGTTGTGGTGGCTTACTGTTCTGATCTGTTAAATTATTCATTTCTGAGATTCGCCCCCCCCCCCTCCCCCGCGGCGGTTGCCGGGAAACATTGGAGGAGGGACATCAGATAGTTTGATGATGTGGCAAGGTTTTGGCTATGCCAAACTTGCTGCCGAATTCGGCACGACAATTGACATTCCCAAAATTTGGCAAGAGAGATTGCAGCCTATTGGAGAGCTGTTTTGATGAACTTTTGCCAAATTTTGGCGATGACACTCCTTTGGCAGCCCGTTGGAGTTGCTCTTTTGTCTATATTCAGACATTTTATAATTTTTTTTAAAAAAATATAATTTGCAGTGCCCAGTGACAGGCCATAGACTAAACGACAAAGAGATGGGGTTGACCTTTACGAAGTTGTTTATTGATTTCAGGCTCTTTGCCAAGAAAGAGATGCGAATTCTTATGGTAGGTCTTGATGCCGCTGGTAAGACTACCATCTTATACAAACTCAAGCTTGGAGAAATTGTCACGACAATCCCTACCATAGGTGAGTATTGATTGTGAATGTAAATGGAACACACTTTCAGTAATGAGTAAATTGATGGAATTACTGCAGGATTTGGTTAGTTTTCCATTCGTTTTGCATCCACCAATTTTCTGATGCCATACAGTTATAAATTTTCTAGCTCGTAATTGGCGCCAGTTTCATGCTGGCTGGTTGATTTGGTAAGTTGTTTTGGATCTACTACTTTGAATGGCATATAATGTTCCTCCGTCAAAGAAGAATTTTTTTTTCTTCCGGCTTGTTTTTGTAGTCTTTTCATACCACCAAATATCAAATCAGGGCTATGTTGCTCATTTAATACATATTTTAGATTTGTAAGAACAATGAAGTAGAAAAAAAAAGAAATTTGTTTTGAGATCTGCTAGCTGTAAGAACATTAAATAAAAGTTTACTGATATCATGAAATGGGAAAAAAGCTGTATACAGTAAATAGAAGACGGCAGTTGTTGTGTACAACCAAATCTGCTCTAAGAGTGTCATGATTAAAAGATTCTAGTTGTTTTCTAATCTATACAGCAAAAAAAATGACATTAATGAAGTTGGTAAAAATTGTTGTTTAGTGGATTTAGATCATCATTGCTCATTTCTGATTATTTTTAGCAATAACACATTTTTAATCAAGGTTCCATTTTTTTTCCGTATTAACTTTTTAGGAGTCTTGGTTTTTGTAGGATTTAACGTGGAGACAGTGGAGTACAAGAACATTAGCTTCACTGTTTGGGACGTTGGTGGTCAGGACAAGGTATACATGTTAGTTTTTATTTTCTTTGCTGGGAAAAAAAAGTGTTTTATGTAGCCATTGTCACCTTCCTATCTTGAAGTTCAGTGAGTTTCATTACTTCTGCATCTGGTTTATTGGTGCACCAAGATAATTATAACATTAGGTTCGAATAAAGATCAGTCAAGAGGCCTTTTTGTTTAATTTTTGAGGGAGTAAAAAAATGATATGAATTTATTTAATTTGTTTGAGTATATAGCTCTTGATAGAGCGGAATGATGAAAAGTGATTCATGTAGTTGACTATACTTGATTGGGACACAAGGCTTGGCTTGGTTTGGTTTGATTCATTTTAAAGGGTAATCATCTGTTTGGAAATCTAATATTGGTTTTATCAAGTTACGATGATATCTATTAGTTTTATGTTGTATTCTTATGAAGATTGACTGATGTGGTTTCTCTGTGATACAGATTCGCCCATTGTGGAGGCATTACTTCCAGAACACACAGGGTCTTATATTTGTGGTGGATAGCAATGATAGGGATCGAGTTGTTGAGGCAAGGGACGAGTTGCATAGGATGTTGAATGAGGTACCCTCTGAATATTGTGTTCTTCTGTTTTTGAGATGGATGGTTTTGTAAATGCCATCTGACTATGCAACTCAATAGGTCTTCATTGGGCCTGTTTGATTTGTTGGAGTAATAGTGATAGGATTGATAATCCATGAGATTAATCATTGGATTGACTATCCAACTCAATTAGTAGGACAAATATGTGTGGGATTATTGATGCCTACTTCCATATGGTATTGAATATCCAGCGATTTTGTAGGATTAAAAGTCCTACGTATTACTAAGCCAGATGTCATTTATGCCATCCAAACGTGGGAATATGCATATCATTGGATTAACAATCCAATCCCATACTCTAATATTGGAATCGAACAGGCCCATTATGTGTTGTGTGAGCATTTTATTGTGAAAATCATAGTTTCATTTTTACTATATATTTAGTCCTCTTCCGTGTAATTTAAACTGCAAGAACTACTTGTTAATATTAATCTGTTCTGTTTTAGATTCATTCTTACTGATTTGTTGTATTTTCGCTTAAGGTTGCATTTCAAGTCTAATTTGATTTGGTTGTAATTTGTATAGAACTCTTGCTAATTTTTAATTAAGTGTTCAAATATTGATTTAAGAATAACAAATATACTCTAATTGCCCGAATACTATTTTTTTCTTCTAAATAACTGTCTGCAAGGGGGAAAAAAATGTCTTCTATGAATTGATTGCATTTGTTGGCCTTAGAGGTGTTATGGGAAAACAATTTTGAATTTGTCCGAAGTTTTGGTCATGTTTGGCCTGTAAGGCCCCGGTGTCCCACATCGGGAATGGAGGGGGAGTTCCTGGGCTATAAAAGTAAAAACCTGGACTCTTATATAGCATCGAGGCCTTTTCCCAAGTGGTGAAATCCCTATTAGAACTCCCCAGTTAAGCGTGCTTAGGCTGGAGTAGTTCTAGGATGGGTGACCCATTCGGAAGAACAAATCTGTGCGGGTGTGACCCAAAGCGGACAATATCGATGATGTGTAAAGGGTCGGGGCGTTACAAATGGTATCAAAGCCGACTCTCCGGGGTACCGAGTGTGGGCCCCTGGCGTCTCTCGGTGCATGTGGCCGGGCTTGCGAGCTGGCAGGTTACTGCACGAGGACGTGCAGCCTTATGGGGGGTGGATTGTAAGGCCCCGGTGTCCCACATCGGGAATGGAGGTGGAGTTTCTGGGCTATAAAAGTAAAAACCTGGACCCTTATATAGCATCGAGGCCTTTTCCCAAGTGGTGAAATCCCTATTAGAATTCCCCAGTTAAGCGTGCTTAGGCTGGAGTGGTTCTAGGATAGGTGACCCACTGGGAAGAACAAATCCGTGCGGGTGTGACCCAAAGCGGACAATATCGATGACGTGTAAAGGGTCGGAGCGTTACATGGCCCTTATTTTGTTGACAAAAGAACTGAGCACAAACTATTTGTCTGTTAGCTGTTTTTGTGTCCACTATGCTATAATGCTAAATGAGGCCTGTTGTTGGTGGTGGTGAGGTATAAAATACATCCGGAGAGGTGCTGATGTGTTTTTGTTGAAAGAAAGTGGAGATGAGATGTTACTTTCTCTATCAACTTTTTCTTCTGTAGGGTTTCTAGTTTGTCCACTTCGGTGGACTTTTTTCCAATGTTTTATCTGCTGGCTTGTTCTGCTGAATTTCTTAGTTATGCATGTCTTTCTGTAAGCTGAAACTATGTGTAGTTTTTTCAAAGTCATCTGTTTCATTTTGGCTGTAGAAGAGATCAGGAACTCAGGTTTTTGGGTACAGTTGTTTGAATTATTCATGTTCATATGATCTGTTTGCAGGATGAGTTGAGAGATGCTGTCTTGCTTGTGTTTGCTAACAAACAAGATCTTCCTAATGCAATGAATGCAGCAGAAATAACTGACAAGCTTGGTCTTCATTCACTCCGACAACGGCACTGGTAAAATTTTCTTTTTATTTTTAGCACTCCATGGTCTATGTATCAATTTCAATCTCGCATAGTTTGTAGAATAGAAGCATTGCCATGTTGTCAGTATGGTTAAATTGGAGAGATGGTCGAGAGCTTTGGCCCCACTTTGTCAAGGTGTGGACTACTGGGCTGCTAGGAATCCCACCTCCCTTTTACTTTCCTCCCCTTATCCCCTGGGAAATGCTAGGGATACCAAATTTTTTACCAAACAAATGACCCATGTGAGACATTTGGTCATTTGTTTGGTAAAAAATTTGGGGTCTATAGCATTTTCCCTTATCCCCCTTTGTACTTCTTGAGAAAGGTCTAGGCAAGAATTTCAGGATGCTGATGATGCTGGCTGGTTTGACTAAATAGATACTATCTCAAGGGCTTGTTTCTTAAAATTCACACAAATGGACAAAAAAATAAGGAAAAATATGGCAGATTAAAACAGTAACTGTAACTCTTAGGTCTCGTTTGGTAACTTGTCTGTTTCTTGTTTTCTGTTTTCTATTTTTATTTTCATTTTTTTTTTTGGGTGAAAACTGGAAATGGTATATTGTTTTCGTTTTGAAGAAAGTGATGTTGATTCCAAATATGAAAAAAGTGAAAAAAAGTGTTTTCACTTGTTTTCGAAACCAGTTTTCACTCTGTCCTCCCTTTCCCAGCACCTCTGACTAAACCACCCACTGCCACCACCAGCTACACTGATCTCTGGCTCCATCAGTGACCCTCTGCCAACTCTGACCACATTCTGGCTGACGTCCAACGAACTCCAATAAACTCCGATCACCACCGCCTGTGACCTTTGGCCACCTTTCGACACCCCTGACCATCAACTCAAGCGGCCACCACATCCATCTACTCTCCAATTCTGGCCAACACCTCCGGCAACTCACCAAACATGTTTCTTTATTTCTGTTTCATTTTTTTCAAAGCAGTTTTGTACATAAAACAAAGTTTTTGTTTTGTCTTTTACAAAAAAGGACGAAAAGAAGAAAAACTAACAAAAAACAGGAAACTGATTTGATTTGTTGGTTCATTCATTTCAGGTACATCCAGAGCACATGTGCGACTTCTGGAGAAGGGCTTTATGAAGGGCTGGATTGGCTTTCCAACAACATTGCTAGCAAGGCAAGTTCATTTATTTATTTTTATTCACTTTAAATTTTTGGTAAGCTTTAAGAAAAAAGTTATAAAAACTACAATTATGTTGGACCTAAATGGAGTCTATAATACTTGTATTTCTCAAACGTTTGAAAGAATTGTAAAGTGTTTTAGATGGATTGGTATTCGGACGAGTTGACATCACTTCCGTTAATTTGTAATTAATAAGTGGATATTGTGGTTGCAGGCATGAATGAGCATGTCAAGGATTTTGGGTGCTGGTGCTGCTGGAATTTTTTGTTGATGCATGATTAGATGCCATCTGGGATTTTCATAAGATATTGGCAATTCCTAGAGACAAAAATACTTTTATCTTGAATACTTGAGTGATGGAATTGTAATGGCAAGAGATGATTTGCTTGATATTATATACTTCAAGAGACTATTGCTTGCTTGTATCACTGCTACGTTTGGCTATTAGTCTTTAGCTGTAATGTAATGATACACTATTGTGGTTTTGCCTTTGAATCAGAGCAATTATAGCTGTCCGTTCATTTTTATGTTGGCCTCTGGGCTCTTCCCAGTTGAATGGTTCTAGTTTGCTTGTCATAATGAGTGCTTGGATGTGTGTGATTTTCTGAAATTATTCCAAAACATTCATACCCGTTGAATCTTTGTAGTTCAGTTTTTCTTTTACTTATTTATCATTATTTTTTTTGGGAAAAAAATCTCTCTAATTTGTCTCCTCTTTACATGTTTGTTTTGCTGAATGAGTGGGGTTATATTTTTAATTTTTAGTTCTTATCTACTTTTGAATTGTATGTGGTTTCATTTTGCGGTTCTGTTAAGGGCATACTTTATTATATCCTCATTTAGGATGGGTTTGATTTAAGGATTTGAGAAGGAATTTGAAATGGGAAAGAGAAAGAGAAAAATAGTGGGAAATTAAGTGAAATTTATGTATATTTTATTTTTATTTTATCGTCTTTTTTTCTTTCTAAATTTTTGAATCAAATATAAGTTCTTGATGCGTTAAAAAAAAAGAAAAAGATTTTGAATCATATTCTTTTTATACTCATGCCATTTATTTATTTTTATTTATTTATTTAGTTTTGTTGTTATGATTATGAGTCAGATTTGATATTCTATTTGGAACACCCTTAAGAGCAGCTCTTAACATTTTTATAGTATTTTACTTATATAAAAAAAGAATATTTAAGAAAGAATATTTTTTATTTTGTTTGATGAGTTTAATTTGTGTGTGAACAGAACTTTTTACTTTAGCTCATCATTCGAATTAACTTAATTAGTTTAAATAATAATAATAATAAACTATAAACATAAAATTTAACTAGTTTAGAAAGATCTACAAAATTCACTGGTCATTCAGATCTTATTTTTTTGGCAGATTAGATTGAAAGAGATTGTTGTGAGATGAGGAGATTATTAGTGTAGCGGTATTAAATTAGATATATACGATAAAGTGTGTTTGTTTGTGTATTAGTGTAGTGGTATTAGTTAATTAGAACTAAGGGGTTGTTTGGGATGTCCTAAATAAGTATACTTTTTGGACTAAAAAGTTGAGGAAAAAAATATGGTTGTTTGGGTTAACTTTTTAAATTTTTATCAAAAAATGTGTACTAAAAAATTGTATAAATTAGTGTGTAGGAGAAAATTAAGATTGAGAGTTGTGCGGCCGTACTTTTTGACTTTTGGTGAATAGTGATAACTTTTTAACTTTTTGAGTAATTTTTTGGCTTTTTAGCTTTTTGGGCACATGCCAAACTTGGCCTAAATCTATAAAATTACCTAAAAATTCCTCACATATTTTTTTTTTTGTTGGTTTTGTAAAGTGGAGGGTAAAATGGTATTTTAGGGGTTGTTTGAGATGACCTAAATAAGTGTATTTTTTGTCTTTTTACGAAAAGATGTGCAAAAAAGTAGAGAGGTGATGTGATGGAAAAAAAATAAAAAGATAAAAAGATTAATTATTTAGGACTTCCCAAACTTGATCTTAGTCAACAATTTGTATAAGGGGATTAGCTATTCCAATTCTCCTATGGGAATCTTAATCCCACTATGAGAGGAGATTCATGCTCCCATGAGATTGCTAATTCCATAACATTTTGTTACACATAAACATGGGTTAAGTAAGTCCCACGAATTGATAATCCAATCTCCTTCCCAAACCCCAAACAAATATGAATGAGTTCAACTAAACAAATTGAAAATTGTATGTGCCATCATTGATATGCAATGAGAATATTGATTCATATGAGTACAAATTTATTGAGGGTTTTGGAGTAATATTCATACCATTCAATTGAAGAGATGGTGCATCTTTTATTTTTAATCAATAAAAATCATTTAACATAATTAGAGGCTCGAACAAGGTTTTGATTCGTATAAGAAAAATCAATAAAATTGAATTAACTGTTTGAAACTGATTGAAGTATCAATTTTCAGTCTATTTTTATAACATACCATTTGTTCCAGTTTTAAATTTTTTTACACATATACAAACCGAATCAACCGAAATATTATATTTAAATACTTTTATATTTGAATTATTTGAGTATTAGAAAATAAATAACCAATATAATATACCGTTTGTGATAAAGCTAGGAAATAATATATTTATAGAGCAACTTTCATACTTTTTATTCATTTATTCCTAATGTAAAATTTTATAACTTTTTATAAAACTCTTTAAAATGTGTAAAGCCCTGATTTACACTTAAACTAACAAAAATGAACTCTAATATACGATCTCCGTCAGTTCTTCAACTATCAAAACCTTAATTCAATGTTGAACTTTCCTACACACCTACTGGACTATTTTTCAACTATAGTCATGATATTGGGTGATTATTCAATATTTTCAGAGTATAGATACATGGTGCTCTATAAGGTTTTGATTGATAGAGAGAGGTAGGAACCCATGATTTATGTTAGGGACGAGAGAACAACATGTGACTAAATAATTGGTGATTGACTTAGAATATAGTTACGTGGGGTTTTAGGATTATTGAATAATTTCCATGATATGAGGGTTATCTTTATGCTTTTTATGGTCCAAACAAGATCACCTAATCCATTTGTTATCAGACACATAATGGACATGTGATTAGGGTTTTAGCATTTCTTTTGAAGAATATAACACTGATTAGCTGTGCAGTTGCCTTAACCAGCTAAGCTTAACCCTCAATTATTATTGCTTTAAGCTCTAGTTTCCATCTAACTTTTTCTCTATTTTCAGAAAGAAAACAAACTAATTTCTCCAAAGGAAATAATCATTTGGAACAGAATGACAACAAAGTAGCAGCCCAATTCAAATCATGTTTGGTTGCTCAAGCAAACAGTTCTCTACAACATATGATTAAAGTGTTAAAACTTTCACATAGTTCTTCCTCCACTACTTGTACTTTCTGAATACTAAATCGAATTACTCGAGTTTAATTTATATTTATTTTCTTTAAAATATTGTTTCACATTGATTTATTATGTTAATAATTATAACTTGAATACATTTTGAATTTCATTAATTTTTTAAAACTTCGATTGAAACTTCTTTGAAATTGGCTTGTGAAATAAACAAATAAAAATAAATGCATTTTTTTCTTAACTTGGTAAGTTTTCAGATTAAGGGTTAGTTTGAGAAGTAATTTTTTAATTTTTTAACTAAAATGTTAGGTGAAAATATAGAAAGTGTTTGAGAATGAATTTTTGACTTTTTATAAAAAAAAAAAAAAAAGTGTTAAAAATAAAGAGAATAAAAAAGAAATTTTAACTTTTTTATATGTATTTTTGACTTTTTAAATTTTTAAATTTTTTTTTGGGGGCTAAACTACTATTTCCCAAATAATCTCTGTATTTTAACAATCTATTATCCAAATCGATTCAGCTTGTCCAAAAGCAAATTTACCTTTCCCTAAATCTAAATTAAGATTGTCTTTGTGAGAGGTAAAGTTAGTTAGCTAATTAGCACTTTTGTTGGGTCATATCTTGTGTCTTTGTACTTACTAGTTAGCTAATTTGCACTTTTCTTCTTTGTTGCCATAAATTGGCCATCATCAATAGTTGTTATTGAAAGTTCATTTCCACAATAGGTTTAAGGACAAGCTGATGAGTCAACTCTGTCAACAGATAGTTTATAACCCTTTAACTATTTCCAAGCCAAGCCAGTAATCATACATCCCTATTTTATACCTCTAATTTTAGAATCCCAATGTCATGTCATGGTAAACACTTATTAAATAATTTTTATATTTTAGTAGAATTTTCAAATGATGTGCCTTATGGCACATCACTTGCAATTGATTAGGAAATTCAAAATTAAAACTTTAAAACATTTTACAACTCCATTAAGCACCAATTTTGAGGATTGTAAATTGTAATTAAGAGCATTCCTAATAGAATTCCTAAATGCCATCCTTACCTATTTTAAGGGATTAGTGACTCTCTATACCCTTTCATTAGAGCCCTTAAACACTTTTCTAAAATAGAAATTGCTACAATGACTATAGGGAGTCACTGCAGCTCTCTTATAATTTTATTTTATTTTTTATTTATTTATTTTTTAGGAGCCAAAATAAAAAATGTTAATGTGTTTGGAAAGTCACAAAAAAAAAAAATCTATTTGTTTGAGTAAAAAGATTGATATAACACTTGACTTTTTTAACTGATGATATGACTTTTAATTTTTTTTAAGCCAAAAGTTGACTCATTATTTTACTTCTTTTTATCTCATAAATTGTATATAGAACTTGCGCTGTACATTCTCATACAAATTTCAAAATACAAAAAAAATAATAACAATAGTAAAGTGCACCAAAGAGCATCTGTATAGGCACAATTCATTCAAAGCCTCAAAGTTTGGTCCTTTGGGGTTCGCTGTTTTTTTTTTTTCCCCTCCTTGTTTTGTATGGTACTTAATGTTCGTTTAATCTAACTGCATTTTAATTTTTTCTTAGACAAAAAAACCCCTCAAAGTTGGTTTTCCAAGAGTAGTGTTGCTTCCATGTAACTTTTGCTTGTGTGTTTCTAACTGTGCACAGTTGTGGATTGGGAAAATTAAGAAGACAACTTTAATGATAATTTGAGTGGTTGAGACATGTTTTACTAAACCCTAGTTAGGAATTAGTCATTTGAACTCTTAGCTTTGTTAGTATTTTAGTCTAAACACCAAATCTGATCCAATAAATGTGCTTTTTTCTTTTGTTCTTTTTCTCATCTCTTTTTTTGTGGATCAGAATTGTTCAAACCTAATTTATAACATGGCCTTTTATTTTAATCACTTGGTTAGCACTAAAAATAAAGAGATTATGGAAATCAAATTGTAATCTCTCCAAAAAGAGATTGGCTGTGTGGGTCATTAGACATATTAAGACCTAACTCACCACTAGATCCAAATAAAATCTGATTTTACTTGCTAATGGGTTAAAAAAAATCATATCAGATTGATTTGATAATTGTAAACACACAATTTAATCATATTTGTCTTTCTAAGGGGTTGTTTGGTAAACATGTTGGGCAAAAAAATCACAAAAGGACAAAAAAA